TTCATAGGACGGTAGTGGAGGTCCAATGCCCCATTTGAATGGCACAGCAAAACCTCTGAAAAAAATGGGCTTTACAGCTATGCTATCAATATTTCAGACACTCATAACGCTAACTCCAAGGAATCAGCAAAGCAGTACTCAGTGTAAGCTTGTGCACTTATAGAGGATAACCCAGGGTGCAACGCACCAAACTTGCGGTGCGATCATGCGTTTTTGTACCAAACTTGAAGTAGTCAGTTCGTTAACTGCATGAATGGTTGCTGCTTCACACCTAAGCTGTGCGGTCATCGCCGTAAAACATCATAAATTTTGCATGAAAGAAAATAAACAATTTTCATTTAGCGGTCATTCTTTGAAGATAACCTAGCTGCTCAATGAGTAATTTTCCCGCCAAAAAAATCGCATATTTTTTTAAAGCGTCCATACGTGGGACCGAGACGTACGCAGATGATAGTAAAATGGGAGGGTCGCGCATGGTACAGGCACATACTTCCAAAGTTTCAGCCTTCTGGCTTTTCTGGTTCTCGAGCTGAAAGTGGGTGACAGAAAGTGCGAACACGCAGACATACACAAACAGTCTCTTGCTAATAAGCGTTTTTGCGTTTGCATATATGCAAAAAAAGCATTAAAAAAATCAGTTTTGACCGAATATCGAACGAAATAAACGGCGCTTCAATTTCAAAGGAATGAACTAAGAGAGAAAAAAACTCATCAACTTTACTATCGTTCGATTCTACGAATCGCAATGTTCATCACTATACTCGCATTACATGTGATCCACATGAGGGAACTTGGAGCAAAGGTACCTGTATGCGAACCACACACGTGTGTGCGCAATATGCGTTTTGTGCGGCTGTTGCGCAACAAAAAACGTACAAAGTGAAAGCGATATGCGCTGCTAATGCACACTTTTTTCCCGTTTTTGCCGGCTCTTCACAAGTATCCATGACACAGGGAAAATTAGCAGACTGGGGAAGATTTGTGGGCCTCAGGCAAGCCAAAAACCCCAGGCCATGAACTGCTGTCGTACTTACTGCGAAAAAGGAATAGCTGCCAAAAAAAGAAGATAATGGATGAGGGACAAATGAAAAACCGGGAGTGGTGATGATTTCCAGGTTATTTCTGTGGAACCCCGATTCAACAAAGAATCACTGTAGAACTCTAAGATTGTATACACTTTTGAAAGTAATTTCAGTAGCGCTAAAAGTACCTGGAAATCAGGAGATCTGCAACTGAACGACCATCTTTTTGCTGAACTGTCACTTCATAGACGCCTTTTACGGACTGCCGCAAAAACGTAACGCATAACTCATCAGCCGTCAATCTTGAAAATTCCTCTCGCGCCTTCGCATCAAAATAAAGCTAAAAATGAAACAGATTACTGAGATTTTTGCAACAAAAAGGTATATTCGCCATTATGACGCAGAATGAATCAAAACGATAAACAATCAGCTGACAACCAACAAACGCCAGCCGTGCTAAAGGATGGCACTTTTGCGAAGTTCGTGAACAAGCAGAAGTAGCAGTCACTGCTGCAACCATGAATTTTTAAGGTCCGACTCTGCCAGCAGGACGACCAATTCCTGTACGATTCGTGCACATATTTCAATAATGCGCTGATGCTAGAGCACTCTAGGAAATCAAATTCGCCATCAGTTTGCTTCTAAACAGCCCCAAAGAGATGGAGCAGTCGACAGTCTTACCAAGCGCGTACCTACTGCTGGCACTTTTTGCTATTCGGGCTACTTCCTAAGGTCTCTATCCCTCATAGTCAGTGAAGTACGAAGCAGGGTTTTAACTTTATGTCTTGGGCAAGGAAAAGATCACTTACACCGCTTCACCAGATGGAGTATTTATACTCAAAAGACAGTGGGTAGTAGCTTGGGAAAGGTAATTCAAAACAAACGCGGGGAGAAAGCATCGACCCACAGTAAATCCATACTGAATCTTTGCCAGACTCTACAACAAGCACTGAGCTTCGCAGAAGCTCATTTGCGAGATAAGCTCTTAAAATACAATTTCGGTATCAGTTCTACTGGACAAATTTCAAGCGAAACATAGTACTTTACGTGTAAAATCAACTACGAAAAGTCTTAAAGCGGGTTAACATGTCCCAAACCTTTGATGTCACGTGCAAAAATCGACATTTCTATGAATAAGTCCTACTAATTCAATCCCGTGTGTATCCTATACTGTGGCTTAATGTCAAATTACAGAAAAACTGGGACTTAACAATTAAGCTGAAAATTAAAGATTATGCTAATGTCTAAGTTTTGCGCATATCAATGCATACTGAATTCATCTAAAACACCTACCCCTCCAGCCACCGGCATGACATCGCATAAGCGGCAGGGAAATGCCATCCGTTTTGCTGTGTAGAATGGTTCTGGTAGTGATTTGTCGATAACATGCAACTCCGATGCACTGATATCTTCCATGTTGCCATAATCAACAAATAGTACTCGTTGCCTTTAAAGTTCGAAAAAGTAAACAATGAACATAGTTATTCCAAAAAACAACTCCGTAAGCAAGTCAACTGCTGGACAGTGCATAAGTTTAAGTTTAAAAGAACACTGGAAATAAGGTCCCTGAAGAAAGAATGGTAAAACATGGAGTTACTGGGACTGCGCTGATCTCAGAAACGAACAGAAAGCAGCGATAATTGGTTGCAGTGGTGACGGCAACAGTTTGAAGAAACAAACTATGATGCTC